AGTAGGGGATGATTTGAAGAGCCACCAGACATGTTCACTATTGAAGCTTGTTTTTGCGACCTACAGAATGGTGAGGGTGACATTGTCCTGTAAAAGGACTGCCCCATCTCTGCCAGGGTTTTTCGAAAAGGGACATTTCAATTAAATTCACGTCTAGTGAGGTCCTTATACCCCAATATCCGGAGATATTTTTATTATTGATTTTATGCCTTAGAAGGCATGTTTTGTATGGGACCTATAGTAAGGCACCTTGACCTTAAGAGGCCCAAACTTGAACCTAGATCTCTCATGTGTGTTTTTGTGGGCTATACTGAACACAACAAAGCATATAGATTTCTAGACCTAGAGTCAAACATGGTAATAGAGTCCATGGATGCAGAATTTGTTTGAACACATTCACTGGTAAGCAGGATAATGAATATGAATCTTGACATTGTAAACGTAAAGTTGGTGACCGTGCAAACCCTAAGCACTTAGAACTCAGGAGAAGAAAGAGAATTGGGAAGGCAATTGTTTTTTGTCATGATTTTCAATTGTATATTTTGGAATAAGATCCTAAAACCTTCGAGAAGCCATGTCCTCGAGTGATGCTCCTTTCTGAAGGGAGGGGAGGTAGTCAATGATGAGATGAAATCAATACTGGAGAATGATAAATGGATATTGGCAGATTTACCTACTAGTGCTAAGCCCTTAGGATGTAAATAGATTTTCAAAAGGAAAATAAAGGTAGATGGTACAAGACTGGTTGCAAAAGGGTTTAAACATAGGAAGGTGTTGATTTCTTTGATACCTATGTACCAATTGCTCGTATAGCTACCATTTGAGTTCTCATTGTCCTGGACTTTGTATACCATCTAGAGATTCATCAGATGGATGTCAAAACAACTTTTCTCCGTGGTGAACCAGATGAAGAAATTATATTGAGCAACCTGAGGGATTTGTCCTTAAGGGACAAGAGCACAAAGTTTGTAAACTTGTGAAATCCCTATATGGTTTGAATCAAGCACTCATGCAATGGCATGAAAATTTAACAAAATTATTTCATCACTCAGATTTTAAATCAATGATACTGATACCTGTGTTTACGCCAACGCTTGTGATAATGTAGTAGTAATAATTTTCTTGTATATAAATGTTATGCTCATACTAAGCAGCAATATTGCATGCATCAAGGATACCAAAAACTTATTGTCTTCTGAATTTAATATGAAAGACATGGGGCTAGCTGCTGTGATACTTGAAATTAAAATAGTGAGACATCCAATTGGGTATGTTTTAACCCAAAGCCACTATATAGAGAAAGTGCTCAAACATTGGATCACTTTGATTCCAAGCCAATTTCAACCCCTTATGGTGCTCACATTAAACTCAGAACTATGAAGGTTTTGTTTCCAATTAGATTATGCCAGAGTCATTGGATGTATAATATATGCAATGTCATGAACTAGACTAGATATAGCGTTTGCACTGGGTAAATTGAGTAGATATACAAGTAACCTAGGTCAAGAGCATTGGAATGCAGTCTATAGGGTACTGAGTTATCTCAAAGGAACCATAGACTATGGCCTACATTATGTTGGTGAACCCGCTGCACTGGAAGGATACAGTGATACAAATTGGATTATGGATTCTGAAGAATCCACGTCTACTAGCGGATGAATCTCCACTTAAGGTGGGGGTGTATTTTTGGGATTCCAAGAGGTAGTGTAGTATCTCCAAATGATTGGAGAAAATTGCCTTGGAATATTGTGAGGAGGCACTGGCTAAGAACTTGATGGTAGACCTACCACCTGTTCAAGGCCTAGGCTTGCAGTCTCATACTATGTGACTATGAAGCCGTTGTATACGAAGCAAATGGTTAGGGATTTATTTAAGTAAATCCAATTATACTTGCTTGATGCACAATCAATTGAGACTTATGCTTGAGATGGAGTAATAGCAGCACTGCATATCAACAAACCCAGCACTTGGTAGAATATTTAATGAAAACTTTGCAAGGCACCAAGTCTGAAAGAAAGCTATAGGGATGGGATTGAGCCCAAATGAATTTTTGCCCCAAGACGATGGGAACCCTACCTTGGATAAGGAGATCCCAAGTCCAAGGTTCAAAGGGAAAACAAGTCACTCGTGCGATGTTTGATGGTTGTGGGTACCACAAAATATTATATTATGAAAATGTATAAAATTTCTGCCCCATCCCTGGCTGTGTGGTACATTTACTGTAATGAATCGAAAGGCTGAGCTTCGCTCTTAATGATTCCATTTGCCTAGATGATGTAAGGCGTAGGTTGGGATGTCACACTGCAAAACATCTTCCATGGATTCATCTATATGAGTCTGGAAGTGGAGGCTACTTCCTATGGGAATTGGGAATTCTTTAGAGTGCTCATGAAAAAAGGATTGGTGCAGGCCTTTAAAAGCACAAGTCTTTAGAAAACCACAATTTTTAAAAGAGAATGTGTAGTATGTGGGAGGCTTATCAATAAAGGATATAGTTCAAGGTATGTCCACTCACTGTCCTGATAAGGGTTCCGCATAACACTACGTGGAGGTTCAAGTCCAAAAGCACATTCACTTATGCATTCGTCTTTCCTTATATTTTTGGAGAGAGCTCTTATTGTTTCGAAACAGGTGGGGAATTGTTAGCTTTTTGCTAACATTTGTGTTTTGAAACAACTTCATTGTCTGTTGTTTTATGTCTCGTTGTGGTCCTGTAGGACCACACCCTCTTTTCTCCTAACTTTTACACTTGATCTCCCACCATTTCTTGTTTTTTTCTTATAACTTTTTTCTTTTTCTCAAGCTCTCTCACCATGTTTCTCTCCTTGCATGTGTTGTCCAACAGTGTTTGCCACTTTGACATATGGCATCTGTAGTACTTACATTAATTACCCTATTGACAAATGTTTGTTGAGGTACGCAACTCTCACACTCTTCTAAAACCGATATTACTCTCTCTTGCTTGTATTATAGTTGTGCTTTTCCCTTCAATTGACCCATGTCCAAGTACTCTGCGAGAGTAATACATACTTATTCGGCCTTTTGGGATGAGAGAGAATATAGAGAGATGTACCAAATTAGAAGAGGATTTATGCCATGAGAGAAAAGTGAGGTATGGGGAAGAACTACTGAGAGAAAGAGCTACATGAGGGTGAAGTACCATACTCTACTGGGTGTATTCTCTCTAGTGAGAGAGCTACATGTGGGTGAGGAACCATACTCTTTTGGTTGTACTCTCTCTAGTGAGAGAATGGATTGTTTTTGAAGCTTTGTTCTCTCTTTTTAAGGTAACATTTATTGTTATAGGTTCTCTTATTTTTCCCAATCGATGATTATATTATATCGATTGGATGATGCTTTTTTGTGTTTGAAGACTATCTATTGGATGATGTTTATGTTGTGAGAGAGATCCTGTTCCAATTGATGTTTGTAGCATTATACCAATTGGAAAAACATATCGGATTTTTAGACCTAGGTTTTGTAACTCATGTACTCAAGAATTTATTTTCTGACAAGTCTTCTGAGAGTGTAACTCATGTACTCAAGAATTTATTTTCAATCTGACTGTATCCTAGAAGTGTACTCACGTGGACCCGTTTGCACCTCGAAATTTTACTGAGACAGGGGCGTTTAACACTTCGAAGAAAGAGAGCTCCTCTCATACCTCCAGCTCCCCTAAAACTTGGCCCCGGTTATTTGGGAGTTCATGTCCATCGTGATGTCTAGTAAATCGCGGTGAGCTCCCCAATAACCAACAGCTCGGGTATAAAGTAAAAAAATAAATGTCCAAGCACCAATCTCGGCATGCCTGCACAGAAAAAACAGTGCCTTCTCTTGTTCAAGTGGGCAACATATTGGGGAATATAAGAGTTTATCAACTTTGATGATTTTGTAACGGAAATTACAATTATTGGCATGTCGTAACATTTTCCTTGCTTTAAGAGAAACAGTTTTTACATTAATATGTAATTAGTTCGATATAGCAATTGTTCCATAATAGGAAGTAACAACATGGCGTCACCAAATTAGTGACCATACTGATTGGAACTATATCCAAAATCAGTCCTCAAAGTGTTTCAGAATTTCAATCAAGTAACTGGTATGGTTTCTTGTCTGTGTATTTACCAATATTAAGGTTAAAAAAGAGTAGGATGTGCTTTGATCGGTATGTTTGATATGGTTATTTTGTGCATTTTACCGCCACTGATGTTCTCCTTTTGTATCCCATCACATTTTTCGAGGCCTTATTACCACTTTCAGAGCAGAAGTTACCATGCGTCAAGGTGGAAAATTGATTCTGCCACCCTCTGTCAGCAACCAAACTTATTGTGATTATGCTAAAGAACAAGGGCATGTTGGTCATAAGGACAACAATTCCTTATGCGCCTTATTTCGTATGTTTTTCTTCGAGTTTTGAATTTTACTACATCAATGTTGGAACCAAAAGGAGCCCCTCTGTATAGATCTTTTCTATCAATCACAGTGGTTCAATGAACCCAATGCTGCACACAAATCCATAGAACCATTCATTGTCTATAATAATGCAAAATTTGTCACAGAGTTTAGAGGAAAATGTACCTAATTACTATGGTGACAGCCCACATATGCTCAAAGCAATACAAACAGAAATAATATAATTCCTTTAAGGCGAAGTCAAAGAATAGAGTCCTAAAAATATGATCCATGTGTACATTGCGCAATACAGAAAGAACAAAATAATACATCAATGGACAATCTACGTCTCCAAACATCACCTTTCGAACACCCTCTGCATGCCATTGAGAAAAGTACAGAACGGCCAAAACCAAAGGTACAGATCATAAGTACATTTAATAAAATAACAACATTGAAATTCTAAGTGCAAGCATGCATTAAAGGTGATATTGGTGGCTGAGATGCTCTACTAACATAGAAATCTCTAAATGTTGTTCACTTGACAAGAGATACTATAAATACACTTCCTCAAACATGAAAGATATTGAAAGAAATTTAATAGTTACCTTATGATAAATGCTGCAAACTCTAAGGTGGCGACAGCTTTGGCACATGTTCATACTCTGAAATTTGTAACAGACTTAAAAGGCATCCCAAGACATTGTGCTGATGCATACTCTCTTTCAACTACTAAGTTATCATCTTTTCATGAAACAGCTTTACATTCAAGAAGCCTAGAATGCCCAAATGCACTACAAACATAATAAGGACATTAGGTTTTGGTGATTTTACATATTTTGGGAGTCTTTGATACAGATATGATAGCCATTCTCAAGTCTTTATGCATTATAGCAAGAAATACTTTATGCAGCATAAGATTGAGCAATTTATATACCCTTAACATAGGAGGCAGGAGTTGGGAGGTTGCTGCCTTTAAAACATCAGATGCAAGTTCATTGCGACGCATAATCAACCCAATCAATTCAGATCGTGTAACTACGATCCCCTGTAAATAAGTTTGGAGGCATCTAGATGAAGGCATTAAGATAAACTTTGAAGCAAAACATGATATGAAAGTATTTGTAAGAAATAAATCAACTAAATGTTAAGCATCAGAAAATTATAAAGAAGATTGTATCACATGCTCTGTTGTCAATTCCCATACAAAATAACCATATCAAAATTTTGAAGGAAATTTCAAAATTGACTAGTGATATTGAAGAACTTATAAGCAATGCACACTTCAATTTCAGAATGGAACACAGGACGCTCCGGAAATCCATAATATCCAATACAAAGCTCCATAGGAGCATCTCAGAGAATTTTCAAGTTTGATGTTACCTCTCTTGGGAACCATAGCTCCTATAGAGTAAAGGGAATAGGTATTATCAAGAAGTACGAAAGCAAAATTCCAAAGGTAAACTGAGGTCTCCAGTTTGCATGGCTACAAGAAAATTCCTTTTACTTCTAACGTGTGTATGAAGGTTTTCCCAAACACTACCCCAGCCTGCTTATATTGGAAGGTTAAGTTTGTAACTACAAGTAAAATCCTATTACTTGTAGCAGAAGTGATGGAATAGTCCACAGATTAGTAAGCTGATGATACCTCTTTCTCTTATGTAATAAGGGATGCCAATGAAGCGCCTCAATGCCTCGCTATAGGAATGGTTATCAGAGAGGAGCTAAATCTATGGAACTCCAGTCCTCTTCTGAAAGATCGCTACCAATTCTACAAACTCGTAAATCTTGATCATTCGCATTAATAAAACATTAGTAACGAGAACGGAATTAATATTGATTATAGAGTTAATTGAGAAAGGAAACACTCTTCTAACAAACTATCCAATGAGAAATACAACAGCAAACAAAATCGATTACCTGTGTTTGATCTGTATGGAGATAATAAAGAAGACCAGAACCCATGTTCTGCATATACCTGCAAGAATACTCCACAGAGTTTTAATACCAACAAGCATATAGATCAATAGACATGACCTAAAATGTGACTCAATAGATGGAAGCATTCTATCTAAAGAGCCATGCAAAATGTCATGCAAACAACATACAAAAACTCAAAAAAATGAAGTTAAATGATATGAAAAAAGATTAAATTCCAAGCCACCTGTCAGACATGAGAAGGGCGTACAGAATCACCTGAGCACGATGTTCCATCCCAACCTACAAGAAAAAAAAAAAAAAGGCAAACTGTGATCTTACGGCATATAATGCAAAAAGTAAACGTTCTATAAAACAACTAGAAAGTATAAGCTGGTTAAGGACATGTAGGTTCAATCCCAATATTCCCTTACGGATGTTTGGTAACTGGAACCTAGAATTAAAATTGAAGATTTCTAATTCTGAAATCTTGAAGGCAGACAATGGAATATTTGGTAAATGGAAAATACTATGTTTGTTAACTAGTCTAAAATTATGGGGAATTTAAAAAACTATATTTGGTTTAAGCTGAAATTTTCAAATTTAGGACATCTGAAAATTAGCCAATTTCAACCATTTATCTAAATTTTTTTGTAAATCATATGGTAGTGCTTGTTAAATGAATGAGATTTCGAAATCATAGCTCATACATGATATGTCTAAAGAATTTGACAACCTCTATATCCAAAAAAGAGAAAAAAAAATCAGCACTTCTAAGTATTTCAACTTTATATTTTATTTTTTCCATATAGCAAATTGAGCTCGCAACTTTTCCTTTTATAGTTTTCACCCTAAAGCACTTTTAAAAATATAGACATAATCTGGAAAAAAATATAATGATCAAAATATCGTAATAGACAGTTAACAACATATCTAAGTATTCCAATTATATTTTAGTTTCTATACATTGGATGGAGCTAAAATTTTGGTAGTCTATGACTCTCCCCCTCACGAACTTGTACGAAATATAAAATATTTTTCGGAAACATAGAACGACCGAAACACCGTTGAAACTCTGCATTATAGATCAGCTAAAATATTATCGATCACAACCGTCAGAACTAGAATGGATGCTCTAGAGTATTTCAATTCTCTTTTTGTATATATTGGATGGATCTGAAATTTTGGGCATCCATACATTTAAATAATTTGCACCTATAAAAATATTGAAAAAACATTTTTTTAAAAAAATCAGATTTACCCTTGAAACTTTGAGAGGTAGTTTGTTCATTTTATTTTCATAAATTATTTTTTGACATTTTTATAAAAACAATACCCACTAAATTTCATTTGGATCAGGAAAGAAAAAACTAAAACTATTTGACATTTTGTACACATTTCAAACAATGAAAAAATAGTCCAACAATGGGAAATCCACATTTCCCATTTTTGAGCAATTTACTCTTCCATGTGGTGTGGTGGAAGTCTCGATTTCTCATTTTTGAGAAATGTGGTCTTCCTTCCACTGTAGCATTTCTAGTTGCCAAACTAGGAAATGCTACAGTTTTTAAGAAATTTTCTTTCTAGCAACCAAATTTACATTTATTTCAACAAAAAAAAAAATTGGGTAAGTCAATGGGGGAGAAGGCCCCCCTACTGAAATTTTCATTAATAGGAAAAAGAAGAACACATTAATTTACAACCTGATAATGGGGCAGTTGCGCCAAGTCATGTAATAATAAAAAGAGAGACAGTTTGGCGGTCGACAATGCCCTACATTGGTCAATGCTCTCTTAGCAAGAGCATCAGCTAGCATGTTTGCCTCGCGAAAGACATGAACAATAGGCCATATATGGGGTGAGAGCCTTGAACAGCAATTGTCAACTAACGTCCATAGTTTCCATGGGGCACTGCAATGATCCTGAATAACATCTACTAGCATGGATGAATCACTTTCTATCGGTATCGGGAAGCAGCCTATCTGAATAACTAAGAAAATGCCTTCCTCAAGAACCTGAAATTCTACATAATTATTAGACGCAACTCCAAAGTGTTTAGCAAATGCTGCCACAAATCCACCATTGTTGTCTCTTATGACTCCACCCCCTCGTGCCAAACCAGGATTGTGCAAGGGCGCACTATCAATATTCAACTTACAAAATTGAGCCACAAGAAATGACCATGCAACTGGGATCGAGGATTTTGGCTTCTGCTGACGCCAGTTAATCTGTAAATTTTCAATAACCGCCTTTTTTGACAATGGAAGGCCCATTTTTTAACTTCTGCTAGAGCCTTGACATGTGAAGTAATACGAATTACAACCTGCTCCCTCCTTAGGGCGTTAAATCTTAAGATTCGTCTGTTTCGCTCCTCCCATAGATGCCAGATTGTTGTGAAAAAATAACCATCCAGAGGTCGAGTAAACCTTGTGATTTGAATTTGAAGGCTAGCCACTGACGAAGAATATCTAGGGTTGTAGTACCAGCCACAAATCTCTTGCCACACCGCCAAGCTAAAGATCGCCAAACAGTCAGTAAAAAAGAACAGTGAAACAAGAGGTGACATATATTGTCCTCATTGTTTTGACAAAATGGGCAGATAGTAGCCATGTGTATACCTCGCTGTTGAAGTATGGTTGAATTTGATAACCGATTATGCATAGCTAGCTATGAAAACCACTTAGCCCGTGGGTGACATTTTAAAGACCAAAGAGCACAAAATAAGGGTTTGGGTGACCTTTTATACCGAATGAAGTGCCATGCTGATTTGATTGAGAAAGTTCCATTGGCGGAATGATCCATACCAATGAATCATCCTTAAGCTACAAGGGAAGGGTATATCGCTCCACATCTCCCCATATGCTATTCAATAAAGTCGAAGTAGGTGAAGGCAAAGTCCATGATGGGGGGTTACCATCAATAAACTCTAAAACCTTTCGATGTCCAAGTTCCCCCAAATCCATAAGTCCATTTGCATGCAAAGAATCTTAGATTGACTGCACTGACAACTAAGGGTCCATCAAGAAATCCATCGTCTGACCATTACCAATGCACCACTAAATATTATCCCTTAGATGGGATAAACTGACATGGATGCCCTTCACAACATGAGAACAACCCCTCTTAACTATAGAATCCCAAATGGAACACATTCTAAAATACCTATAGTTGAAGAAACAAGCAACTAAGGAATATGGATTTGCTAAAATCCTCCATGTCAGCTTCATCGTACCTGCAGTATTGAAGTTTGTCATTTCTCTCACCCCCAAAGGCCTCCTTCCTTCTGAGGAAAGCAAATTGTCCTCCATTTCACAAGATGAACCCCCTTATTTTCTGCAACTCCTACCATAGAAAGTTTCGCTGAAGCCTCTCTATCCTATTACAGGTTTTTTTCGGCAACATAAAGGAGAGTATCCAAAAAATAGCAGAAGCACTGAGGACTGACTTAAGCAATTGCAAATATCGTGCATAAGATAAACAAAAGGCTTGCCATGTACCTATCTTGCAGATCACCTTTCCAACCAAACTCCGGCAATAACTGTGCCGGAGATGGCCATGAAACAAAGGTAGCCCCGGATAATGCACCGGTAAGGAACCCTCACTGAACCCCAACTTACTCTGCCCTGTGGAACCCCAAAGAAGAAAGCTTTGCTCTTTGTAGAGTTTAACATCTAACCAGTAATATTCTCAAAATTGGTGATAATCGTCTTTAGAGCATTAGAAGATGCATAAGATGCCCCATAGAAAATTACGGCATCATCAGCATAAAAGAAGTTAGAAATCCCATAGTTGCACCCAGAGGGGAAGGCTCTAGGAAACAATCCTTGCAAAATAGCTTGGTCTAGTTGCCTACTAAAGAAATCTATGACTAGCAAGAATAAGTAGGGAGATAGAGGGTACCCTTGTCTCAGGCCTCTTTTCCCATGGAAGAAGCCTTTAGGGGAACCATTTCTCAAAACAGAAAAAGAGCTCGTCGAAATGCATAGATAAATCCATGAAATAAATAAATCTAGGAAACCCAAGGCATGTAACCTCAAAATAAACTCCCAGGAGAAACTATCATATGTACTACTCAAATCAATTTGCAAGCACATTTTAGGATGTGCTGAATTCTTATAACAAAGAGACATAATCTCATTTGTCATTAGAATATTATCTGAAATGAGCCTACCCTTCAGGAAAGCAGCCTGCCTAGGATCAGTGATGTTCTCAAGAGACATTGCATAAACCAATAGGTCTAAAGTCCTTCATAACAGAGGGGGCATCCACCTTAGAAATTAAATATATGAAAGTGCACTTAATTTGCTTTAGAAGTTTACCTTTGCTGAAGAAGTCCTTGAGAGCCTTGTAAGGATCTTTATTAATGATCTCCCAAGCGAATTTATAAAATTGCCCTTAAAAACCATCCGGTCTTGGAGCACTCTCGCTTTGCATGTCCCATATAGGGGCCTTAATTTCCTCCATAGTGACTGCTTCAACCAATTTTACCGTCTAATCCAAAGATAATGAACATGGGGATACAAACTGGTCCGCCTGAGTGGTGTCAATATCATTATCTTAGGCAAGAAAGTCCTCGAAGAAATTGATCATATGTCTATCAATATCATCTTCAGATACTAGCAAATCCCCATTCTGATCTTTCAAAGATATAATATATCATTTCTTCTTCAAATCATAGTAGAAAGGTGGAAGAGCTTGGTATTTGAATCACCGTCCTTAAACCAGTTCTGTCTAGATTTCTGTCTCCATAGTTTCTGCTCATGTCCCAAAAGCATTTGAAGCCTCTGAGTGCTTCCCTGCTCTTCTAACATTAGTGCCTCATTCGAGAGGTCAGCACTTAAACTATCATGTAGAGAAGATAGTTGAAGTCTGACCGCCACAATGGATTCACTAACATGACCAAAGACCTCCTTATTTCATGTACGCAAATCAGCCCTCAATCTTTTTAGTTTAGTCACAAACCTGTACATGACAGTACCCCCAACTCTAACTTGCCATGATGTAGAGACCATATCCATAAAGTCAGGGTGCTTTTGCCAAATTGAAAAATATTTAAATGGTTTGGTCCAACCAGTCCTTCATCAGAAACTATTACCATTATCGGACAATGATCAGAGTTGCCTTTGGGAAGAAGCTCCACCTTAGATTCTGGAAAAGCCATGACCCAATCAATGGTTGCCATTGTGCGATCTAATCTGCTTCTTATGCACCTCCTACTGATCTGACTATTAAGCCAAGAAAACTATCCCCTGACTACCCCCAGATTAGACAAAGCACAATCTGTCATGACTTGGGCAAAGTCAC